CAGTGGCGCTCATGCATCTACTCATTATTCTTGTAACTTCAGTCTATGAAAATGTGCTATCTTCCGCTTGAATATATTCTTAACATTTTAATCATCATTCCGCTGTTTTATCCAAATAGGCAACTAAAACCGGCGCACGAAAGTGCACGATTAATGGTTGTAAGAACTAAACTGAACTGACCAGCAAGACTATGTTATCGACTTATTCTAAACCGAGAACTCTGTTCCCTGATCGAAGTTCAACCCTACCAATTGCTAGCATTCTCTAGAGCATCCGATTTATGGTAAAGTTGAAAACTATTCAGGATACAGGAATCTTGTCGCAGTCCGCTGGAGACGGCAAAGGGGGATGAAATTTGGTCATTAGGCTCTAACCTGAGGTATGACGATGGAACTGCTTGAGGACTGACACATCAGCTCAGGTACTGCAATTGCAAACAAAAATTTCCATAGGGCGATCCTATCAATGGAGTTCACAGTCGCACGAACGTCTAAGAACACCATGTTCGTTGGTCTGTGGTAAAAATGACGAGATTTAAACAAATGTCAGAGTGAAGGTATGATCGATGCATCAAAAGACCTGCGCGAAACCCAGCCTGCTACTCGAGGGTCTGCTCTTCACGCATATTGTAAAAGCTACGACAAATGACGGGCGCAAACACTGGTTTAGGTTTATTCCCGTACAGAAGCCCTTTGACTGGCCGCCTCCCCTTTCCTAAAAAAGTTGTATCATTGCATATTCAACAAAAGGAAATGAGGGACAGAAAAAATTATCATTCACGAGGAGGACACCTGCTCGGTGATCTATTTATTGTTAGTGATAAATCAATGTCGGCGAAGAATCCAGATTGATTTTATTGCCCTACGACTCACCATCCATTTGTTTCAAATTCCCCGATAGTCGCTCAGCTGTTTAACAATGTATTCAATCAGTCTACCGTGTTGCGCTTCAATGAACGGCACATAATGTTCATGTTTCCGTTTTGACTGCATTCACACGCAATTCTAGAACCGTTCTCTATCAGACAATAGGACTTCTTAAATCAAGCAAGTAGACAAGCCCACTTTACCTCCTGCAACCAGTAGTTACTCAGTGTTTGATAAATTGCGACAGAGAAGACTCGTGTGTCAACCGCAATCGGTTTCTAGTATGAAATGAAAACGAAGAACTGTGACCAAACTTAGGTGTCCAACAAACGAGAATGTGCAACACATCAAATAGAGTGAGAGCCCAAAGATCAATTCCGACGAAAACAGCGGATATTAGTAAGCTATAGTGCCCTTGCGGACTCAAACTAAGGGAGACGAATCATTCGCTCAGGATCGATGGATGACGATATCGGGCTAGGCGAACAAACCAGGGGACGCTAGGGACGCAGATTTTTTCATCACGGGAAACTGAGCGACAAAACGCATCGGATTGAAAGTCGACAGAAAGGGCAGGGATCAAAGTCTTTATTCTGCACAACCGTCTGGTGATTGTTTGCACACTTCCCACTCACGGAGAATATATATATATATATA